CCCTACTAAAAGAAATGGAAATCTGTTTAAGGAACGGGATCAGCTAGAGACAGCTGATGGCCTGTGCATGGGAGTTGTGAATGCAAATCTCTGCCTAACCAGCACACAGCTCATTTGCAAGAGATGAATCTCACTCATTTAACTTCAGACATCTACAGTGTAACTGTTTACATCTATGCCAGTCATCCTGATTTTTTTGATGTGGAGAAACAGTCATTTCCTGGGTATGATTCATCTGGCCTATTTCAGAAACCACCTTAGCATGAGATGAACTCCAAAACAAGCTTAGATAATTAGCTCAGGAGCTGAAGTTTACACCAAAGGTATCTTAAGTTATATCGGATTAATCCTACCAAAGTGATTTTGCAATGTTTAATTTTTAGTCAAATTGATGTTTTGCTTTTGTTCTTTCTACAGCCATTAGACTTTGAAACAAAAAAGGCATACACCTTCAAAGTCGAGGCCTCCAATCTCCATCTTGACCATCGATTTCACTCGGTGGGTCCATTCAAAGATACTGCCACTGTGAAGATAAATGTGCTGGACATGGATGAACCTCCAGTTTTCAGCAAGCCTATGTACACAATGGAGGTTTATGAGGATACGCCTGTGGGGACCATTATAGGTGCAGTGACAGCACAAGACCTTGATGCTGGCAGCAGCTCGGTTAGGTAAGAAAGCTTTTCCTCCTTCAATAACTCTCAGACAACCCAAAGTGCTGCTGACAGTCAGTCTCGGTGGCAAAGAGCTTAGTAAGAAGATATAAAATGTTCCAAGTCTGTCACTGTAACAGATAACTGCTGCTCTGAAAAATATTGAAAAGAGGTGCTAGTTTGGGTGGGTTATCTGGAAAAATGCATTAAGTGCTGACAACTTCTTATCATACAGATCATATAAGTTACCATGCACTGACGTGACTTCAGAGATGGTGTGATCAGACTAAGGAAGTAAAAACATTGTTTTGCTTCGTGTCTTCCACAAAAGCGGCTCTGAAGTACAGTAGTGAAAAAGGAGGTTGTACACGCTACGTCTGTGTTATACCTCAACGGGTGACAGTGAGCACCACCCCTTTCACAAGAACCACTCACTCTCTATATCTGGCAAAGAACAAATGCTTCAATAAATAATTACTACATCTGTCTTGGCTAAGGCTGTGGGGACGTGATTGCTGACTAACATGGCTGTGTTCAGCAGACTTCAGCAGAAGTAAACCCCTGCCAGTAAAACCTCTCATTTACTGGTATAGCTTATTTTCCTGAAATAAAAGGGAGAGGGGAGCTGTTATACAAAGGCAATATATTGATTTTGTTGATGTATTTCCAGCCACATTAGAAACTATAAAGTGAACCAGACTCATGTACCAATAAGGACGCTCCTGTGCAGACACGGTCTAAGATGTAGGCAGTCATTACACATACTTCCAGTACCAATTCATGTTGAATCTACCTGACTTCAGGAAATATTTTTGTTCCCAGACTTTCATGAGCAATATTGCAGATATAATGGAAGTCATCAATCTTTAAATATTAATGTTTGTCAAATGGGACTATGATGTAACAGGAAAATGCCACTAGTGTCTACCAAGTGCATACACATTCATGCATATTTGACTACAAATTTAATTTGGAGTTTCTAATCCATGTTTATTAACTATGTATATTTTGACTCAGTACTTATATTCTCAAAATGTACAATAAGCATGTTAGATGTTATGTTGGAATCATATGCAAAAATTTAACATGCAACAGTGACTGTTTAGCTCCTGCTTCATCAATTCACTGTTAATTAATTCCTAAAACTATTATTGATGTTGTTTCACTACTGTTTTTTTAAAATACCTTCTTCATTCTTTTCTAATACAGAAATGAATTTGTTCATGAATCTGTGACACATTGCTTCCATGACAAAGGATTAAAACCTTCACTAACAGAGACTGAAGTGGGAACCTTTTTCCCTGGTGGCAGCCTATGAAAATAGCCCCACTGAAGTCACTATTCTGTTGAAAACCGTATTCCCTTGCAACCAGATAGCAAGTCTTTAATCATCTTGTTGAGCAGTTTTTCATATGACAGCAGAATCATTTGAATGCATAACCGCTCCTCAATGAGAGTTTTTTATTTCACAAACCCTCCTAGGAGACTCAAGTGCTTTAGTTACTGATCCTACATTTGCAACTACACAGGAAAAATCATTGTCTCACGATGGTTTCTCCATACACTGTGCTCACTGTAATATTGACTCATAAGCCATTTTAAAGTGTCCATGTCTACCTTTTCTAACCCTGAAATCATTACTTGGGTGTCCAAATGTCCATCTACAGTTAAAAGATCAGGGATATTACAAAATACCCTTGCATTTTAGTCTCACTGCTCTACCTGTTGACCCTTATGCTGATAAACTACAGAAATGCTCCCAGGTCACTTTTTATCATAGAATCATAGGATTGTTTAGGTTGGAAAAGACCTTTAAGATCATCGAGTCCAACCACTAACCTAGTACTGCCAAGTCCACCACTAAACCATGTCCCTAAGCACACCTTCTACACGTCTTTTAAATACTTCCAGGGATGGTGGCTCAACCACTTCCCTGGGCAGCCTGTCCCAATGCTTGACAACCCTCTCGGTGAAGACATTTTTCCTAATAGCCAATCTAAACCTCCCCTGGCGCAACCTGAGGCCATTTCCTCTCGTCCTGTCACTTGTTACTTGGGAGAAGAGACCAACACCCACCTCGCTACAACCTCCTTTCAAGTAGTTGTAGAGCGCGGTAAGGTCTCCCCTCAGCCTCCTCTTCTCCAGGCTAAACAACCTCAGTTCCCTCAGCCGATCCTCATAAGACTTGTGCTCTAGACTCTTCACCAGCTTCATTGCCCTTCTTTGGACACGCTCCAGCACCTCAATGTCTTTCTTGTAGTGAGGGGCCCAAAACTGAACACAGTATTCAAGGTGCAGTATGACCAGTGCCAAGTACTTCCCTACTCCTGCTGGCCACACTATTTCTGATACAGGCCAGGATGCCATTGGCCTTCTTGGCCACCTGGGCACACTGCTGGCTCATATTCAGCCAGCTGTCGACCAATACTCCCAGGTCCTTTTCCGACAGGGAACTTTCCAGCCACTCTTCCCCAAGCCGTAGTGTTGCATGGGGTTATTGTGACCCAAGTGCAGGACCCAGCACTTGGCCTTGTTGAACCTCATACAGTTGGCCTCGACCCATTGATCCAGCCTGTCCAGATCCCTCTGCAGAGCCTTCCTACCCTCGAGCAGATGAACACTCCCACCCAACTTGGTGTCGTCTGCAAACTTACTGAGGGGGCACTCGATCTGCTCGTCCGGATCCTTGATAAAGGTATTAAACAGAACTGGCCCCAAAACTGAGCCCTGGGGAACACCACTCGTGACCGGCCACCAACTGGATTTAACTCCATTCACAACTCTTTGCGCCCAGCCACCCAGACAGTTTTTTACCCAGCAAAGAGTATGTCCATCCAAGCCATAAGCAGCCAGTTTCTCCAGGAGAATGCTGTGGGAAACAGTGTCAAAGGCTTTATTAAAGTCAAGGAAGACAACATCCACAGCCTTTCCCTCATCCACTAAGCAGATCATCTTGTCATGGAAGGAGACCAGGTTGGTCAAGCAGGACCTGCCTTTCATAAACCCATGCTGACTGGGCTGATTTATGATCCGATTCAGCTGATCCATGCCCAGGGAAAAACATGTACTATGTCCCAGTATTACCGATTTCTCAGAGGGACCCATTCCTACTCAAAAGTAAGCCACACATTGAATTCCGTGGACTTTGGAGGGAGATACATTGTTTTAAGGAGAGGGATATGTTCCAGTAAGCCAGTTGACACGCTGAGAATATTAAGCTGGAAACCTCTCCATGAAGCTCTCTTCCAGCATTGTAAGATCACTTATTTCTATCAATTTTCACTTTTCAGTCCTGAAATCTCTTCCTTGGCTCTTCATTTACCTGAGGATATATTTGACTCGCTGTATTCAACTTGATCTCCAGCTCTTTGAATTTAATGATAAGATTCTTACTAATTTATCGGAGATCTGACCATGCTTTTATGGTCTGGAAGAACCCACCTGTATCCAGATGCTGACTACTCCAAGCAGAAAAAGTATTTATATGCAATTGTTAGTTACTGATGTATTAGTGTTCAATATTCCATGAATTTTATATCCTCTAGCTGAAGAAAAAAGTACATGACCAGAAGTTAGAAAAGCTTAAATTAGTTTGAAAAAGTTGCATGTGATTACTTCTTAATGTATCTTAACCAATTATGCTCTTTCAGCTGTTTAAAATCTAGATCGTCTCATAGGTGTAAAGAATGGCTCCATCAATTTCATCGTATTTTAAAGAAGGATTCCAAGCATCTTCTGAGTAAATACGCCCTCTAAACAAACATGGAAAAGCAAGTAACGTTCTTTGAGGCAACAGACCATACAATTTGCTGCATGGCACAGCTTCTCTACAAATTCATACATTTTCTCTGAAATGTTTTCCTAGAGCAGTTTGGCCATTAAGATGCCCATTACAACAGCAACAACAAAATCAGCAATCTGCCAAACAATAGGGACTGGGATAAAAGACCAATCTGTACTGTATGCAACAGAAGGCAAAACTCTGGAGAACAAAGCAGGTTGGAACAGCTCACATGAAAGGAAGTGGCACTAGTCACAGCAACTAAATCCATGTTATCAGACAAAAACTTTAGCTCTGTTATGCTAGACATATCAGGAAGGGGGAGGTAACAGCTAAGAATGAAGACTGGATTCAGCTGGTAGAAAAAGAAAAATATTTTGCTGGAAGCCATTGAAAATGTTGAAGTTTATATTATTTTTCTTTTTCTCCTGTTACTGGAATCAAGTTTTTTGACAAGTCGGGAAATTTAAAAAGTTTGTTTTGTGGGATGATATTTGTTAGAGATGTTGAAATGAAATGGCACAGAGCGCACATTCAGTAAGAAACAGGAAATTAAGCACAAGGAGAAAGGGGGCTGCAGGTATGCAACACCTGCAAGGGTGACTGTCTTCGAAGCTGTTTTGGAACATTACCCCAGTGCAACTGATTTTCAAACTGTGTTAAATCTGGAGTTTACGTGTCTCAGGAGAGCTATTTTGTCTATTCCCACTTCATCCATAGTGCTGCCAGAAATGCTCAGCATAAATGTTAAGATGAACATGTACTTTGTGGCCATTAAAAATCCCAAAGCACTTCTGAAAAGAACAATGATCTCATATTCTTCTCACACTCCTTTAGTTTGTGATGATTACAAGCTGTCTGGGAGAAAAAAAAAAAAAAAGCACCTGTGTTGTAGTGTACTACAATGTATGTAATCTGTAAATATGCAAATGCTTTTAGTAAAGATCCTTGTACTTCTGATACAAGGAATTTTAGGACTTCCTAAAAATCACTTTTATATGTGTCCATACAGCATGAATGTTATAGACAGAGCTGTCTAAATAACAAGTGCAAATGGATGGCAAGACTAAGTTATCTGCAATACTTTCTAGAATAGTGAGCTTTATCTAACAGTGTGTGTGTGAATTTCAACAACTTTGCACTGACACCTTTGAAGTTGACAGAATGCCTTGGAGATGACCTTCTGGCATAAAGCATGAAGGGATTTTTGCCCCCGATGTGAACCCCAGATATGACT